TAACCACTCGAATAGCAATTCTTCATCAATTCGTTCACTTGAGTTGTCGCAGGAATTTTGACCATCAGTTTATACCCACTTTTATACCCCATTTAATTGGCTTATTATTAAGACATTAATTATTGCTAAGCAATGTTCATATGGTTATGAAAAACAACTATTTTCCACATTAAATACAATAGATATTAAATTTCAAGCAAATAATTGATGGAAAATAATATGTTTGCAAAGAATATTCTTAATAGTATTTTGTATTATAACATGTAATAAGTTTTATAAATGAATTTCAAACTCTAGTGAAGGAATATTTTTAATCCGATATTCAAATAAAATATAATAACTTATTATATTAACAGGAATTAAAGTGCAATCATTTTGAAAAAATAATTTATAATTAATTATTAATTAATCAAAAATAGTTTAAATATATTTATAATTATTTGTTCAGTACTTTAAGTTTAAAATTAGTCTCAAAGATCACAGTGTTTTGGTTTCTCGCGACACAACTCCCGGAGCAAAGTCTTTGCCTCTTCGACGCCATTCTTTGCCGCAAACTTTAATAGTTTTCTCACTTCGCCTTCAATTTGCGAGAAACAAAACAAAACAAAAAATGATAAGAAAACACTTGTCTTACATTTGGTCATCCCTTTTGTGTGCAAACCTTTTTCAACATCAGTCTTATAGCCGGAGAGGTGTCCGGCGGCCAAGTTGTAGGCCGAGTGCGGGTGTCCTCTGTCTGCCGACTTACGGAACCAGTGAAACGCCGCCGAAGTGTTGGTCCGGTCTTTGAGCAACTTGTGGGCCAATACGTGTTGGGCGTTGTGGTCGTCCCAGTGATGGGCAAAGAAATGGGTTAAATGGTAGTGGAAGTGATCGAAATGATAGTAAGTATAGTAGACTAGGAATACGCCGATCAATACACAGGATATCTGATAAAACACATCACCAAAAAAGTTATGTTTAGATTAGATTACATGATAATTATGGTAAAAATAAATGGTGTGAACATTACTTGTACGCCAATAATGAGCCGTCCGTCGGGTTTCTTACGCCTGGCGAACGCCACCCTTGGCTTCGGT